TGGTATTTTCAAAATAAAAATAAATAAAGAGATAAATGTTCTTTAATAAAACTAGAAACAATCCTGTTAAGTGACGAATCTAAAAAAATGTTTGTAAAAACGTATGTAGCATAATGTGTATCTGCATTTATAATGTATGTGCAGAAGTTTTAAGACAGACTATACCAAATACACATTGAGAAATATTACAAGCATTAATTAAATTATTGTTCTGAATAAAGAAAAGAGAAATGTGTGGATATTACATTCTAAGAAAATAAAATCTGTTTGATATTATAGACTTGTACTTAGGTCTTATAATGGGAGCCAGGAAATAGTTCTAAATTGAGGAGATAATGAATGAATGGAAGTTTGTTACCAGTGCTTCATACCTGTAATCCTAATTACTCTGAAGGCTGAGATATGAGAATTACAAATTGAATTCAGGTAGGGCTCACAGGTCCTAGAAACTTTTTTTTTTTTTTTTGGGTCGGTTGTGGGGCTTGAACTCTGGGCCTGGGCGCTGTCCCTCAGCTCTTCAGCTGAAGGCAAGCGCTCTACCACTTGAGCTACAGCGCCACTTCCGGTTTTCTGGTGGTTTTTTGGAGATAGGAGTCTCACGGTCTCTCCTGCCTGGGCTGCCTTTGAACCACGATCCTCAGATCTCAGCCTCCTGAGTAGCTAGGCCACCAGCGCCCGGCCCTAGAGAATCTTATTGTCACATAAGTACCAAAAGCCAGAAGTGCAAGCATGGTTTAAAGAGTTGACAAGAATGAGCAAAAATGCCATGTTAGAGCTCAAGGCTCTGAGTGTAAGCCTCAGCACAGATACACATGCACACACAGATACATGCACATACACACACACACACACACACACACACACACACACACAAATCACTGAAACGTTTCTCAAACCTCTGGACATCCTCTTCTTCACATTTGCTGTCTTCACTTGAAAAATTCTCATTTTTCTACTACCAAACAAAATACCTGGATAATCACTTTGTAAGTTCCTTTAAGTCTTTCATTAACATCATATACAATGTTCCATTGCTCTTATGTTGTACTATATACCCCATGCAGTCAAATGCTGTTGCTAGTGTATTCGAAAGTAATAGTTGACATATAACAGTATGTTTGGTTTTACTCAATACTAATACCATTGACTCCTGTCATTGTTGGATAGATTGGATAGATTAAGGAGAGAGGGAGGAAGGCAGGAATAAGGGAAGGAAGGAAGGAAGGAAGGAAGGAAGGAAGGAAGGAAGGAAGGAAGGAAGGAAGGAAGGAAACAAGCAAGGAAGGAAGGAGTGAACGAATGAAGCAAGCAAGCAAGGAAGGAAGCAAGCAAGGAAGGAACTATAAATTTATGAGTCATAGCTTATTCATAAAAGTATTATGTAAATAAAGGAAAGGATAATTTGTTTCAATTTATTGCATTTTAGAAACAAGCACAAAATAAACATACACATATATTACTAAGGATCTAAATATTTTGATATGTCAGGAATCATTTTACAAATATGTATTCAAGCTTGTAAGTTTATAGTATTTATAGAGGGCATTTTTGAGTATGTATTTTATACTAAAAAGGGTGTAAAATGTATGTTTTCATGAAGATTGAGAATGAAAATAAACTGTCCTTGATTTAACTTAGCATTATAATTAAGGTGTCAATCAACTTTAGATTTATGAATTGCACTCAAATATTAACACACATTTTAACTACAGAGAATGTTTGCTCAATTATTTACTTATTAATTATTCCCATTAAAAGTTGATATGAACTACAGTAGGAACTGAGGACATTTGTTTCTTTAAAAAATACACTTATTGCACTAAGAACAGAAAAAAATCAAGTTTAGAGTATGTTATTCATTATATACCTAAACCAGGATTATACACCTATGTGTCATAATATTTGGTTTTACATATCTTTTTTATATGAAAGTTGCAGATGTTAGTATTTAGTTCAACTCAAATTACATTTATTTAAATAGTTCATTTCTGCTTTATATAATGAAACATTGAACTCTACTTTGTGCCCTGGGTTAGTGATCTAGGCCCAAGAAACAGTCATAAATCCATTTTAATGAGGAGATTATGTAGAACATTAAAACTATTATCATTAATAAGATTATGAATGTAAAACATGACATATAGTAATAGTGTAATGTATTTTAATTTTCTTCCCACACATTGCTTTTATTCACCATATGACATAGTTTTCAGTCGCTTAAATATTTCCATCAAAATATTTGCTCAATTGATAATTTCATGAAACCAAATGAGAGTTTTAATCTCTATGGTTTTCTGAACCCAGAAAAACTTGTGTTATAAATGTAAGTCAAAGGTTAAAAGTATTTCCCACATCAAACTGATTTTCTCAATTTTGCTATGGAGATTGATAGTACTGGCCCACCCTGGGATCTTAATCAACCATCTGCACCTATGAATTTCACACTCAAGATAACTGCCACATTTCCAAGGTCTGGCAGCTAAAATTCACAGTGAATAAGAAAAAAAATCTTTCCACCACTCTCCCTAACTTATGAAGTTAAGATTTCTATCAGACATTGATTTTTCAGATTTCACCCCTACAAAGCAAACCTTATCGCAAAAATTCATACATTTGAACCCTGTACTATTTTGTAAAATTTCTTTAGCTCAAGAATCAAAAACAGTGACAGTGAACAGTTACTCATATTGAGATGCAGTCTTGTGTGAATTCTAATAACTATGAGATATTTTCCTATTGACTGAAGTATGTAGACACTAAAGGCTCTTGTCTGTATTCCATTTTGTTTCACAGAGTAAGGGTAAAAAGAAGGGAAATAACAATAAATTTCATAGATCAAATATACTTAGTGAGGTGATATATACTTTAGAGTTAGAAAATATTCAGGGTGTTTTTCTTATTTTCTTTTTCCTTTTTTCATCTACTTTAACTACTATAAGGCACAAACTTTTTTTTCCCAATGCCATGATATGTCAGAAAGAGAAAACTTCAACATGACAGCTTAAATCCCATGCCTTATATCAAGCCTAATTTAGGAGAGTGATACAAATATGAACTATTTACTTTGACATTTGCTTGGAAATGAACGTTCTATGTAATTTGAAGGTAAAATAATTGTATTACTCTAAGTTCAGAAACCTTAGGATCTAATTCTTGTGCTGTCAATAGCTAACATTCTAACCTACTGATGTAGATACTCTATCTCGACTGGTACTATATCTTCTTCAACAAGAAGATAAAATAATCTCTACGCTCCTGACAATCAATACATCTATAAGGACTTGTTTATTTGCACTTAGACAGTGACACAGCATAGTTTGAAAATTATGCATTAAAGGAACGCATGTGGTTATGGCTACTTTTCACACACATGGGTTGTTATTTGAATTAAAAAATATATAAATAAACTGTCTCCATTTCCCCATCTTTAAAATGAAAATAATAATCATCTATGAAATATGATTGTTGCCAGAAATAAAAGTAAATTTCAACAATCAGGAAAATGCATCCTTTTCAACAGGTCTAAAAGCAAGAAGCATACTAAAGAAATTATATGCACAGCACAAGTTAATGACCACATTTCACTTAATTGTATATAAAATTGTTCAAAATATTACATTAGAAGGATTAACATAATGCAAATGAAATGCTGAGAATGGGATTTAGGACAAGGTATCTCCCTAGCTGATATAAATGTGTTTCTATTTGTACATAGTAATTGTAGCTTATTTAGAAGTGATAGGTTAAGAACAATGCATTAATGATTATTAATATATTACTAGTCTCATTAGTGTTGCCTTTATTTTGTATCTAATGTCAAAATATAAATTTAATATTCTAATTTAGATAATTATCACTAATTGAGTTTGAGTATTACTTGAATACAACAGATACATACAGTTAAATTTTGTCTTTGTTGAGATTATTTTCTCTCTTACTTTGTGCAAGATAACTTAAAAGGGAAATATAAATAAAAAACAAATAAATAATATATGCATTTCCTGGAGAATATATGTATGTATATATAATCATATATGTACATATGATCTGGTGAGAAGAATCTTACATTTACTGTAAAAATAGTATTAATAGAAATGCATGAATATATAAACACACATTTTCAGTCTACCTATATATCATTCATTTTTCAAGAAGATAGAAAATAAGACAATTAGTAAAGTTTTGATATTATTGTTAACAAGCAGATATCATTTGTTAAAATACTGATTTTTTCATTTCACAACAACAGAGTATATGTGACACTTTGGAAATGCATACTTAAAAATAATATGAGGCACTCGTGGTTTATACCTGTAATCTTAGCTACTCAAGAGACTGAGATGTGAGTTAGAGAAATTCCTGATTACCTTTCTCCAACTAACCACCAAAAATCTGGAAATGAACCTGTGGCTCAAGTGGTAGATCATTGCCTTGAGCAGAATAGCTCAGGGACAGTTAGCCTTCCTTGACCAGTAGAAAAAGAAAAATGCAAACTTTTGGATGAATTCATTTTTTAGAGTAATCATTTTTATTGTGAGTCAAAATATTCATGGAAATAATTTAAAGTGGATTTAAAATAAACAGGCTAATAAGTATTCCCCTTTAGTTCATATTAAGTAAGATTATCTCATGTATTCTACTAAAAGAAAAGAAAATTTATGGTATGAAAAAATAATATGCATAATCCTTAGCATTTTAGTAGATATGACTCTGCTAAAAGCTTTTAATTTCAAAAGAAAGTCACTTTATACTTTCTCCTAAACAACTGAGAATTTTTCATGCAATATCTTATTTTGTGTCATAACGGGGCCCTTAACCAAAAAGGAGATGATTATCATTTTGTTTTGCTCTGAATGTTCTCTTTACTTTAAAGTCCTAGAATGAATGGACCAAAAAAGAGATCAGTATATATTTGCAAGAGTTAACATAGCATATTTAAAATCATGGAGATAATTTGAACAGTTCCAGGCTACAGTTGTCTCTATAAAGACGTGGCATACCTCATAATGGCTTTCTTCATTCTCCTGAATGTGGAAACCCGCAGAGCTGGGACATTTCTGAGGAGTGACAGGAATATTGTCACTTTTGCTGTGTGAGTTACACTGAAAGAGATTACCAAATAATTGTGACAAACTACCCCACATTCATTTAAAGTGTCTATTGAGAGACAAATCTCTTTGCTATGATCCCAGTAAAAGAATGTCAGTGAGCAAATAAAGACTTAACTTCATAGATAACATGCATTAATTTCAAACCATTAACTAAGCAAAAAAAAAATTCTTGGGATAAACAAATGGCCAAATGTTTTGGAATTAAAATGATGGTCTACAATATTAATAAATTTAGGTTTGTTTTTCTTAAAAGCAATGTATTACATTTATGACATATGAGTTAAAGTTTATATGCTGTTGTTTTTATGGTAGGTTCTTCCAAACAGTTGCCATAGATGATACATATAATATCTGTCATACCTATTAAAATTATCTCCACATAGAGGAATCTTTTATTGCAAAGGATACACTTCTAAACAGATTTCTGGGAATATCACCTATATCCCTTTCTATCACATAAGTTCTTTCCACAATGGAGCCTTTAAAATAATTAAAGCTCCATTTAGTTTTCTTGCCTTTCCTTCGTTCCTTTTTTTTTTTTTTTTGAGGTAGAGGATTTTGAACTCAAGGCCTATACAAGTACACTCTGAGACAAACCTAGTCCTTGCCTCAAATTTTGTTGTCCAACATTGGCCAGGACTGAGATTTTTCCACCTCCCACAGCTAGAATTACAGGCTAGGATAATTATACTTAGGTTTCCATTGTCCTTGCAAATATTTTTTGCAAACAAGTTGAGTAAATTAATTCACTTGGATATGAAAAGGATTACCAGAAGTTATGAGAAGAGGGTATAAATTGTCTTCTGTGAAACTATTCAAGTGATTGCTTTCCATACTCCACTTACAATTATTTTATGTGAAAGTAAGTAAGTCGTAGTTCACTTTTTGTTTCTTCCCTTCTTTTTCTCCTCAATATCTTTTTTTTTTTTTTTTGCAGTCCTGGGGCCTGAACTCTGGGCTTGGGCGTTGTCCCTCAGCTCTTCAGCTCAAGGCCAGGGCTCTACCACTTGAGCCATAGCACACTTTCAGCTTTTTCTGCTTATGTGGTACTGAACTATCAAATCCAGGGCTTCATGCATGCAAGGCAATAACTCTACCACTTAGCCACCTTCCCAGCCCTCAGTATCTTCTTAGAAATTACAATAATTAATATTTATAAATAATGCTTTTTGACCACTTCTTAAACATAATAGTATATTTCCTAACTTTCTGCTTTCATAAAAAGTTACAATAGGGATCTTAAGCATGTCCAGCATTGATTTATGTCCATTTTACTTCATAAACCTACACTATATACATCAATTTTTTCTGACCAGGGAACATTTTTTCCCTTAAACTATTATGTCATATTCTCTGTTCAATAATGAAATGCCACATTTCCCATTTCAAAGAAGAATCTGTTAGCAATTTACTGTCAAGAGATTTTTTAAAACAAATGATTGTTAGAGCTTGTCCACCAATGATTCATTCCAAGATAAACATTGTATATATTTAGGTATTTTTAAAAGACTGATAATACATTTTGAAGGTATCATTTATCTCAATTATTATGCAGCAAGAGCATAAACTAAAACCAAAATACCCATTTTATAAACTTTTTCATATGGAAAAGTTAGTTCAATAATAATAATAATAACTGCTATTATTATTATTGCTACTACTATCAATTTCTCCATTCAAACAATTTTATTTCAATTTTGATTAACAAATTGCTATTGACTCTGCATGAAATTCAACAAATATGACTAACTTTTATCTGCAATTTAAGTCACTTTGATATATGTTTTTCAAAATGTGCTTTTCTGGTATTAATTGTTTGCATGTGTCTAAGTTTGTTTGAAAAAAACTTCATCCTTAACTATGAACGTTTTTTTCTTGTTCTGCTATTTCTCCACAGCAGCATTCCTGGGTTTATTTTGCTTTTAAATTAGATCTTAAAACACTTATTTTCACCTGTGCTGGTTTTAGACAGTTTAATCACTCAGTCCCTGTCCTTAGCTTCTACTCATATCAATTCATGCTGATGAATGTTTTTTAAACATCTCGTGTATTATGCATTTTTTTTCTCCAAAGAAACATTTCCTTAATTTCTGTGGACCAGCAGTTGTTCTTTCCATGACTGTATATTAAAATCACCTGGGGGACCTTTTTGAAATGCCACTGACTGAGCTCTTCTTCACACTAGTTAAATTAGATCTCAGACACAAAGACACACTCACACTCACTCACACACACACACACACACATTTGAAATATTCATGGAATTCTAATGTCCAGTCAGCATTAAGAATGAAAGTTTCTTTTCCAGTACCTAGAAAAGTATAATGAATTTTGGACTCATTTCTTTTTCGGTCCGATATCTTGCACTCTCAGTATTTGTTCTTCCTTTTTAATTTAACATGTCATGACTTTAGTGTTGTTTCCTTTTTACTCTTTGAATACAATGTCACTGAGCCTGGATAAAAACTTGTATCTGGCGGGGTGCTGATGGCTCATGCCTGTAAACCTAGCTACTTAGGAGGCTGAGACATGAGGTTCAAATCCAGCCCAGGCAGGAAAGTCCAGGGACTTATCTTCAATTAACCACCAGAAAACCAGAAGTGGCACTGTGGTTCAAGTGGTAGAGCACTAGCCTTGAGCTGAACAGCACAGGGACAGCACTCCAGAGCAGAGTTCAAGCCCCACAACTGACAAAAACAACAGAAACAAACAAATGAACAAACAAAAAACCTTATATTTGTATTATTCTTCACACACTCTCTCTCTCACACACACACTTCCATGTATTATCATGAGATTCTTCTTCAGGTGGGTAGGAAATAAAATCCTTGAACAGATGGGGAAGACAGAGGTTCAGAAATATTCAGTATCATTTGCCCAAGATTTGCTTAGTGAAAGCACTCATAAATGACAATTCTTAGGTGAATTTTACTCTACAACATTTCCTTTAGTAGTTTTACCCATTTGCCCATTTATTCACCTCTGCAGTTCAGTTATTGGTTTATTTGTTTATTCATGTAATAATCGTTTTTTTTGTTGAGTGCTTTTTGTGTCACGATTTCATTGGATTGTCAAGCTATGGAGTTTAACATCTGTAATACTCTGACACACCAATAAAACTAAACAGAGGTAAAGAAGCACTATGCTATGTTAAAAATGCTACACAAAAATATATGTACCTACAGCTAAGAGCCGAAGAAAGAATGACTAGTTAGACTTCTGGTCTGACCCATAGCCGGAGTTGTGAAAGATGGACTGAGGAGAATTGTTATTACTTAGTATTACACATTACAAGGCTTAAAGTTCTGAATTCACATGAGCTATCAGTAGCTTGATGGTAGTTCAACCATGAGGTATGCATGGACTGATTTGAATATTGAATTGTTAGTGAGTTAAACTTAGAACCAATGATTAGATGTGACAGACCTGGACTTAATTCTATAACTTTATTGGATGACTGCTCAGAACATATTCTTTACTAACAGTGAGAGTATCAGTGGTGAGCCTTAAGCATCTTTCTTTCTCTTTTAGCAACCCCCCGCAAAAGAATAGAATATGAGCAAAATTAGTTCATTTGCAATATGGCTATGATACATAGGTAAGCCCTGACACTCACCCACAAGCGTCTCTGTGTCTAGGTCTGATGCAATTTGTAGAACAGTTTATGGGCAGAAGGAAGAAATCGAACCTCCTTACTTTCTCACATTTAATTCTTTTTGAAAGTTATGATACAGCATGCCACTGAAAATTACAAATCTATTACTGAGATCCAGTATGGGAATCATTAGCCATAAGCAATATTTTGAGCTCCAATATTATAAATAGCAAAGACTTCAAAGAAAACAATTCTTAAGGGAAAGTAATGCAATCAGTATAAATTCTGCCAACTAAGTTTTTGCCCCAGAGAGAGACCAAGTCTGAAACAGATTTATTTTTAAAATCTCAAGACTTATCCCACCAAAACAGTTTAATATTTGACAAATTTAACATAGATGACTATATAATGAGTTATGTTTAATATGTATCTGAGAAATCAAATCTAACATTACAAGATACTTATTTAAATTAAAAAATGAGACATGTAGGGCTCAAAAACAACAACCATATTATATGGAAATGCCTGTAACTACATTTGTTTTCTCTAAACTCCATTTTATGTTTTCCATTACTTGTGATTGACAGCTTGTATTTTAATAGGGGGACAACACAAACACCCATTGTGCTGCCTTTGAAAATGGTTATTCACTACCTATAGAAATTCCTTTTCTAACCTGCCACATACTCAGTGTTTTTAGTTCTCTCATTTTGACACTAATTCTTAAGAAAGCACTTCATAGCCATGATATCAAGAAGAAGAAAAAATTCAACTGTAGCTAATAACAAAGGATTTATGAAAAATAATCACAGAAATAACACCCATCTACCTATGTGGCTAAAATGAGGGTTCTTTACATCTCCACCCAACTCTCCTTGAGCAGGAATGTGCACTATTATTAGACTCCTCCTTCTACCTTCTTACAAAACCAAAGTTGTGTGCTAAAGAAAATCAGTGGAGCTGTTATAGAATTCTTGCTATCATTATAAAGGCATAGCCTTGTATTTTGCTGCAACACATTTCATTAAATACCAGTGTTATTTGTTACAAACACTCAGTAAATATGTTATTCTAATCCACCTTATATAAACTTAAGATTTCTTTTAGTGAAGAGCTGTATGTTTTAACGTTTTGATGTAAATACTTTGAACTTTACTAAGAAATTTGCATTTATAAAAATGAATCTAGCCGGGAGCTGGTGGCTCATGCTTATAATCTTAGCTAATAAGGAGGCTGAAATCTGAGGATCACAGTTCAAAGCCAGCTCGGGCAGGAAAGTCCATGAGACTCTTATCTCCAATAAAGCACTAGAAAACCAGAAGTGGCAGAAGTGGAGCTGTGGTTAAAGTGGTAGAGTGCTCGCGTTGAGCTGAAGAGTACAGGGACAGCGCCCAAG